AGACAATTCGATTATAAAGTAGTTGACATGATTACTTCAAGTGGTGAGCCATGCTTCGAGACTTTTTCATTGCATGCGACTACCGACTATAGTTATGACTTATGATGATCATAACGGATGTCTTAAATGGCAAACATGATCGGCTCTAGTCTGAGTTTCGGTTATTATGACTTTCTTTATAAAAAAAATATATAATATGTAAGTTCACTAACCAAAAAAAAAAAAACTAAAATGACATGTATGCATGCATGTTATTCTTGTAATATACTTAGCTAGAAAGCTATTACTTTGAGTTCAAGTAAAGGAGTGGCAAAAATCTATGTTATTGCTCCTTTCCTAGCACGAAAGGATGATCGCTTTTTGTAGTAGGTAGGAAAAAACTATTGTATATTCAATCTTTGGGGATATAGGAAAACTAAAGTAAAATTCAAATAAACAAAATTGAGTAGAAAATTTTATTTTAATTGGATAGAGTCACAGAGAGAAGAGGATGTTCTGAAAAGGCATGTGAATGATGTGGTCGCGCGGCCAAAGTATGCATAAGTGTCGAATGCTAGTGACGACCAGTCATGAGTAATGAGTTCCATTCACGCTAAATCACGTGGACTATAATAGATTACACGTACCATAATAAACTCTATTTAAGTAAAATATAGAGTAAAGCGAGTGTTTATGAATATTATTGCTGTAAATGAAGCATTTTCCAAAAAGTCTCATATTAAAGAAAATAATATCTCCTTATAGACATGTCACATGTTCGATGATTGATTTACAAACTCGTGGACCAGAAAAACCAAAAGAGAGTTAAATCATAACGGAGGCCGGCTTTAGTTAAACTTCACACATCAAAACATATAATGTAATGTAGATGGCCCATTCCCATACCTATTGCGCAATACTGTCCCCGACCGGAGCCGTGATGGTATAAAAACTCATAAAAATACATGCTATATAAACGTAATGTAATGCAATTTGACATTTAAATAACATCTATAATTTGTTGCTAATATTAAAGAAATAACCAATTTTTGGAACTAATAAATACGTAAACATCTTTAGTTCTTCTGCTATATTATGACCAAAGAAAAAAAAAAGAAGAGGGATTAAAAAGTCTTTGACGTTTGACTTTTTGGAGGCAGAGCGCCGTGACCTAACCACCAGAGCCAGCCAGTCACTTTTGTTATCCGGTGATGACGACGCCTGATGGCGACTGAAGTACACGCGCGGGGTCCTCCAGCCTAATTTGCCACCTGTACCACCAGCCTTGCCCGTTGTTTACAGTGACGTAACTATCCCATATATATAAATCCCATTTTCCTTTTTTATTTTCTTTCGAAACCCTCCAAAATATAACAATAAAAAGGAAATTACAATTAGAAAGAAACGGCAATAAAATTGTGCCAAAATCTTTTTTTTTTTTTTTTTTCTTATTCTCGCATTCCGCTTGATTTCGCCGTCCGATTATCTCAATCGCCGATAAAATCCAGCGGCGATCAGTAGATCTTGAAACTGTAGTTGTTTTCTTGCTTGTTTTTTTTTTCTCTCTCTCTCTCTCTCTCTCAGAAACTCTTCTTCGTCGTCACGCTCAAGATTCTCTTCTCTGTTTCCTAGTTTCGAGGTTGATCGCTCTTTGATTCGACTGATTTTGGGTTCACGATTCTCGACGGTGATTGAATTCTTCTCTCACTTCTTCTTTATCAATCGTGACGTTTTTTGTGATTCGCATTGCTGTTTTGTATTTTGATCAGGTTCCGATTTGTTACTATTTCAATAGCTTTACAAATTCGATTGCTGATGAAGTTATTTCGTTTTCTGCATTTGATTTGTTCGCAGGATGATGCAAGAGACGGGGAGATTCTGAGGTGAATCGGAGGAACGAATTGAGAGATGGATGATAGAGAAGGCTCGTTCGTAGCCGTCAGGAGGATTTCTCAGGGTCTCGAACGGGGAACCGTTTACAATCCATCATCTGGTAATTTCATCACCAAGTGTTTTTCATAGAGAAACGTTTTCTACATCTCTCAATCTCTTATCTATCTACACTGGCGGTCACATTTTTTATTATTTTTTGTTGGCGTGATGTTTTGATGTTTTGTATTGCTTGGTTTCAGGATACTGTGTTATTTTTAGTGCACTTATTTAGATGCCTTAACTTTCATCTTTAACTAAGATTCCAGTTTGTTGGCAAGGAGCATGTGTGTTAAATCTTAGTATATGTGTGTGGTTTTGTGGAATTCTGATTCTAACGCTTAGAAGGGGTTGTATTGTATAGAATTCTGATACTTACAACAGAGTGCAGACATTCTATCAATTCCTGAAAATCACTGAAGCTCCATTTTGATGCCAGTTTATTTGTTTTGTTTTCTTACAGCTGAGGCCGTGCCTGGATCAGCAGCTTGGTTAGGCAGGGGTCTATCCTGTGTTTGTGCTCAGAGAAGAGATAGTGACGCAAATTCTACATTTGATCTAACACCTGCTCAGGTAACTTTTTTCCACTGTTCGAGTTTGGAGTTTGATTTTTCTTCTTCACTACAAGTTTGTATGTCATTAGCTGGCTACAAGTATACCTAAGTATCTAATAACTTCCACCCTATTGTTGGAACTTGCAGGAGGAATGCTTGCTGAGTTTGCAGAGCCGCATTGATGTAGCCTATGATAGTACTATACCCCGTCATCAGGTACACTTTCCTCCAGGGTTTTAAGCTTTTACAATTTCTCATAATAACAACTGGATGGTAGAATATTGCATCTCTTCATCCCTTGACCTTTTTACTGTAAGCTAGCATCATAGATTCAAATGAATCAACTTTGATCATTACTTTCTTTTGCTTCTTCATACGCTCTTAGGAAGCTCTGAGGGAGCTGTGGAAACTTGCCTTTCCTGAAGAAGAGCTTCATGGATTAATATCTGAGCAGTGGAAAGAGATGGGTTGGCAGGGCAAAGATCCGTCAACAGATTTTAGGTATATTACTGACTTCCCTCGTCATTTATGTTATAGTTAGTTCTTGCAGCTGTCCTCTTTGACTTACAGTGCATCTGGCAGGGGTGGTGGTTTCATATCTCTTGAAAATTTGCTGTACTTCGCTAGAAACTTTCAGGTATACCTATGTACTACTAGATACAAACATCTCAGAAAAAGAATGAGCTAAAGTTCCTTGAAAATTTTCAGTTTTCATGCACCATATATTCTCGATTACACATTGACACTGTTTCACATGCACCATATATGCTGCAGAAATCCTTTCAGGACCTTCTGAGGAAACAGGTTGGGGATCGGTCTGTGTGGGAATACCCCTTTGCTGTTGCTGGTATCAACTTAACATTCATGCTCATACAAATGCTTGACCTTGAAGCAGGTATCAGTCACAGTAATTTGCTTACCGTGATTCATGATTGTGATAGTTTCTATTGACATCTCAAGCCATATGATTGAATAGCCCATAACTATAGATTGGATAGCCCATAACTATAGAATCCTCTTGCATGCATTAGGAAGCAGTCTTAAAATTGCTGATTGCCTGTCATTCTGATAATGAGTAGTGTATTAAGATAATTAAGAGGGCTCGCTAATTATATCCTTATAAACTTTTACAGTGAAGCCACGAACAATTGTGGGGGCAACTTTTCTGAAGTTTCTTTCTGGTAATCTGTCACACAATGCTGTTTTCTGTGTTCATCAAATTAAAACGCCTTTTTGTGCTTTAATTGGATTTTGACACTGATTCAGATAAGTGTGTGGGTTTTGTTTTGGGTGGCAGAGAACGAATATGCCTTTGACCTCCTTTATTGCATTGCATTCAAGCTAATGGATCAGCAATGGCTTTCAATGCGCGCCTCATACATGGAGTTCAATGTAAGTACATGTCTAATCATATTTATATATATTACCATTGCAAAGAGTGAAAACAGAGAAATTGTGTTTGGTCATACTATATGTCTTTGGTTAAGTAAGATGAAAGTTATATGGGTGAAACAGACGGTGATGAAATCTACAAGGAGACAGCTGGAGAGAGAGCTGATGCTGGAGGACGTAATGCATCTTGAGGACTTGCCCTCCTACGCCCTTCTCACTCAATAGCCATTATGATGATAATAAATAGTAAGAAGAAGAGTTTCTAACCACTTTTATAACACAAGGTTGCTCTGTTCAATCTTCACTTTTCATCGTCAATGCTTTTGCTTCTTTGACCTTTTCTTGTGTTTGGTGGTTCTAAGAAACAACTCCCAACACCGAGTAGTTTACTTGTTATATTAAAACAAGAAAGAGAGAGAGAGAGAGTGAGAGAGATAGAGAATGAGAGAGGTTGTGATAAATGTCAATTTGGTTGGGGTGTGTTTGGTTGCAAGGAGTGTGTAGCTAAAATTGGTTTGTTTTCTAACAACTGTTCCAGGTTTCTTAGTGTTGATTGATGTACGTAAGACGATTGGGTTATGGTGTCTGTGTGGGGATCGATAATAAACAGTTGGTTTTTCTCCAAATTCCAAAGCAGTCAATCTTGAAGGACTCTTGCGTGGGTTAAACACTTAAAACTTCATTTGTTCGTGTTTTTAAGAAACTTCATGTTTATAGCTGTGAATATTGTGTGCGGGTAACAGAGAATGGCCTTCACAAGCAGTAGCGATTAATTCACCAACAACACAAGTGTTATTATATCTAAAAGTCTACACTCAACAATAATATATTTTGTGGTTAAGGGATTATATAGAAAAACCTGACTAGCTGTGAGGTTGTGAGTTGTGACGAATCTATTAGATGAGTGCTATGTGATTCCTAAACCTTGCTGACCATAACAACCGTGAAACGGAGAATTTGAAACGCGTAATTAGATATACAAATTATGAGAACATGCATGCAATGCACTTTTAATCAGCCGGCACCACACGGAAGAAAAGGAAAATATTGAAATACTGATGTTATCCAAGGGAACAGATCGTGTTATAATGATGATGGTGATGTCTGATGATAAAGATGATTGGTTTAGGATAAATGCTAAATAAATCATAGGAAGTAGGGATAAAAAAAGAAGAAGAGCTGACGTTACACGAATACAAGATCCTCTTTCAAGCCAAAGCAAAAGCACAACCTCCACGCTGGTTCTAACCCAATATTAATCCATTATCCACACATGACAAGCCAACACCAGCGACATCCCGACCATTACGTAGTTCATTACTCCGCTAGATGCACCACCTGATGGGGGTGGAGGTGAATGCGGTGGGGGCGGCGTGGTTGATCCCGAACCAGCTACGTGTGTTCCATCAGATGGAGGCGTGGTTGACCCCGAACCAGCTACGTGTGCTCCATCAGATGGCGGTGATTCCTCGCCTGTGGTGGGAGGAGGAGCGACAGGGGGTGAAGGCGCCGGCGAGGATGGGGTGGGTGGAGAGGAGACGGCTGCTACGACTGTTACGGCTAGTTTCATGCCACTTACACAGTGACCAGCGGTAGGGCAGATGAAATACTTTGGTCCTACTGTCTCGAGATCGATTTTGGTGTCTCCGTCGGTGTGGGTATCTATCGGTGTGCCTCCACAGCTATCGTAACCGGCTTTGTTCACCTCGTTCACTGAGTGCGAAGGACCATACTTGAACTCTGCGTTTTCCATTGATCATATAGATATATATTAGAACATGAAAAAAGAATAACGGTAACCGAATAATATATATTAACTAACCTAGAACGTCACCAACTCTGAAAGTTTTTCCGGTAACCCAAGCTGTGTAGTCCACACCACTTTCCCATCCATTTGCGTTTCCGACCGTGTGCGTCACAGCGACTGAGGCGGGGACGATGGCCATGACTAGGAGGACACGAATAGCTGCAACGATCTTGCACAAACCATTCGTTGCCATGTTTTGGTTTGAACCTGGAGAGCTGTTAATTAATAAATACATATAAAGAAGTGAACAAGGGAAATGTTGTTGATTTATATAACAAGAGGCGTGAGAAGGACTAGTGAGGAAAATTAAGCTCAAAGGGAATATGTGAAAAAGTCCCCTATTCTTGATTAATTTGTTTGGGTTATATATATACACGATATATCTCTTAAAGACACTTTAATTAGGGTCAAGTTAAATTCCATTGGCCTTGCCTGCTGGTTTGTGTTCTGCACATCTTTTCTCATGTGTTATAAATACTGGACGTATATAGCTTAAATTTTTTATTGACTGAGGACATGAATTTGATCATGCTAGGTTCTAATCATATTTAGTGACATTATTTATGTCTTTTTTGGGGCTTATTTGTCTTTTAAAATATAAATGTCAAGTTTTAACAATGTTTTGTCAAGAAGACGCAACCTAATTTGATCTATACTATACCCTGCATTATATCCAAAAATAGTTCAATTTGCAACCAAAATATCTACGTCTGTATATAAGAATATATATCTAAAGTTTTTTGTGCTGCTAATCTAATACTAATTAACTATACCAAGTTGCATACGTACCTTTATTATATGATCTCTTATACTATACCATTAACAACTGCCATTTGAATAAGCATTGCTAATTTCTCTTAGTTGTTGTTGATTCAGCAATTATGCGAGTCATTATTGACAACAATAATATTATAATGAAATTAATTAATTTACTCAATGCAGTAGTCATATGGAATCCGAGTGGAAGGTTGAGCAGAATATGTGTATAAAAGAAAATGGAAAATAATAATAATTTTATTACAACAAGAGAAGAAGTGAATGTGATGATCATGATAACGATAATCAAAATGCCAAATAATAAAATCCTACGAACAATGAAGAGCTTTCTGACGTGGCACACAAACTCCAAATTCTCTTACAAAGAGTTACAAACCAAAACCAAATAAATAAAAAAGTAAAAAAGCACTGACTCCACCCTGGCTCTCTCTAAACCAATTACATCCACAAACCATAGCCCAAAACCATCGAGACTCCGACCAAAACGTAGCTCATCACTCCCTTAGACGCAGCACTTGGCTTTGGTGGAGGAGGAGAAGTTGACCCTGCTTCAGGTGTGGTGGGTGTTCCGGCAGCCGGTGGTGTGCCCGGTTTGGTAGGGGTTCCTGGAGTCGTAGACGGGGGCGAAGGAGTGGTCGGAGGTCCGGCAGATGCGGCTACGACAGTAACGGCTAGCTTCATGCCACCTAGACAGTGACCAGCGGTAGGGCAGATGAAATACTTTGTTCCTACTGTCTCGAGATCGATTTTGGTGTCTCCGTCGGTGTGAGTATCGATCGGTGTGCCTCCACAGCTATCGTAACCGGCTTTGTTCACCTCGTTCACTGAGTGTGAAGGACCATACTTGAACTCTGCGTTTTCCATTGATCATATAGATATATATATATTAGAACATTAAGAAGAAGAAAAAAAAAAAACTAAGTTGAGAGCTTTTCAATTTGTGCATGATATATATAAATCGACGGTACCGAATAATATGAACTTACCGAGTTTGTCACCAACTCTGAAATTTTTTCCGGTAACCCAAGCTGTGTAGTCCACACCACTTTCCCATCCACTTGCGTCTCCAACCGTGTACGTCACAGCGACTGCGGCTGGGACGACGGCCATGACTAGGAGAAGAGCAATTGCAGCCATCTTGGCTAAACCATTCATTGCCATATTTTGATTAAAAAGATAGATAATTGTTGTAGGGAAATGTAAAGAGATGATAGAGATTATGAAGACAGGTAATGGTTATGGTGTCTTATTATATAACAAAAAGATGCGAGAAGGACTAAGGAAATTAACTAAGGTGGAATGTGTGAAAAAGTCGCCGCCTCGCCAACTCATTCAACAACTTCATCCTCTATTTTTTATATTTTTATTCATATATTTGTTTTCTAATACATTGTCATGATGCGTTCCAACTCTTTGTTCTTGTATATTCAGAGTAAAAGAAATATTAAAGGAATGGATAATTAATCGAACTGTTCATTAATGGTTTTCTTTGGTATAAGTTATAGAAACCCATCATCCTAATGAGTAGCTTCTTCCTGTTTGGTTTATTATGTTTTTCTACCCAAAAGTGTGCTGAGAACATGGCTTTGTTAATTTGGATAAAATATTAATCCAAATAATGTATATCATAACTATGTATTAATTAGCTGACAAAAATATAATATTGTGCCTATTACATAATTAACATGTTATAGAATCCGCAGGTGCCAAGATTCCTTAAAAATGAAGAAAAAGATAAGCTCAAGTGTATTCACTATCTAATAATGCCTTGAGAAGAGAGTTTTTGAAAATGAAAGTTTTAAGCTATGTTTTTCCTTGGAGAATTTCGTATAAAAGCATATTTAGTGTACACGGCTGTATTCCAAGTTCCCAACATTGTTTCATGTATTTCTTACAAATTGTTCTAGAATGGTTGTTTTTATATAGTATTAGTTATTAGTCTTCTTTTTGAAAAAGTAGTATTCTTTAGTTTAAAATTTGATGTCCAATTGGTGTAGCTAGGTTTTAAGATATTTTCTCACTAAATAAAACACTTTTTGTTTCTTCTGTTTTAATTATGTAGTTTTTGTGATATTGACTTTGAGTTTGTACGTTTGAACAAGACTTTATCATTGTTACCCCTTTAAAAATTTATTTGTTCAATGACACAAGGATATGAAAGCTTATTTATGTACTAAATCTCAAGAATTGAATTACTGAAAGTTTGTTTAATGCAATTAGCAAGGTGTTGACCCTTGACTAAGTTCATTATTCAAAAGATTTTCAGTTTGGAAAACACGGCCCAAGCCATCGGGTTAGTAGTAGTTTAAGAAAATAAAAAGATGAACAAATACTTGAAATGACTTGATATTCACACAATATAAATTTATATATATTCGAAATGACATCCTAACTTTTTTCGAAAAAAAAAAAAAAAAATGTAACAAAAATTGGGAATTAGGTAATATCATAGTAGTAGGAAGATGCCTAACACGTTCTAAGGCCATTTTAATTAATATACTTGCCAATGAACAAAGATATAGGTATTATGGTGTTAGGTGAAACCAATCTTTACAATATTCGATTTTTCATCTATTGTTTTTTCCGGAAAGATGAATACATACGAAAACCACCCCAACAAATATGATAGTAACTCATAAAAGCGAAATGGTCAATGACAGAACACAAATCCAATAATATAATCACTATGGTCGATTCTCTGACCTTAATAGATTTAATTTTAAGTAGATCTAAACAAAACTCATAATTTAGGAAGAAGATTCTTCGATCTTACAAACATGGATAGATTTTGGAATTTGGATGGTAGAATATATGTTGAGTTAAAAAAAGGGATTTTTGTTTACTGACATGTTAAAAAAAAAATTTTACACTACAAAACTAATGTCTAAGTAGAAAGGAATGAACAATATTTTTTGAGATATCGAAATACTAAACAAAAACTCTAATGTTTGAATTTATCATTTTGAACAGACATTTCCATGACAGATTCATATTTCATAGTCTATTTGTTAACCTATGCACGTCAATGAATGAGATTAAAAAAGAAGAGGATAGGACTCGAGAAATGACTTTACAAAAAGAAAAAGACATCTAAATTGACCCGGAAACAGTCGTCGCAAATCGAAACTATTTATAGATACATAGATATATTCCAATTTTGATGACTATATGTATACTAAAAAGGCTTTTGCTCATACACGAGACGAAATAAATCAACGATGAAAGCATGTACAGTACAAGAAACTTGCATCAGCTTCTTCACATTATCAAGTTCCAACTTCGAAGCCCATTATCATATATTGTGTGGCCCATTAATGAAAAAACATGGGCTTCGCCAACTGACATAGAAGTCAACTAGTGCTTAATATTTGAGCTTAAAAACAAAAACAAAGCAAAGCATTAGACAGTGCTTCTTAATATTTGAGCTTAAAAACAAAAAACAAAGCACTTATTAATCGAGTTTCTTTTTAAAGTTCTTGATTCAAAATTGGGGACATTAATAAGAAAAAAGGAATTCTCACAATAAGAATGATGTCATTAGTAGTTTATTTATAGAAAAATTCTCTCTCTACTCCAAGTCCAACGGTAGAGGAGGAGGGAAGTCTTTCTCACCTTCGACCAGAGGAAAAAACAACTCATCATTCATAGACATGAGACATGTTCTTGGTACAGATGCATTTTAACATGCGCCTTCTTTTTATTTTATTTTTCCCAATTCTCTAAGCAGCACCACCACCACCCACCCTTAAAAACCGTCTTTATTTGTTTATACTATACTATATACATAACATGTAGTAGTAGTAGTACAAGTATAACACATAAATGTGATAAAACAAGTGACTACAACATATCCTTATTTAGTGCTGGGTCCATGAATCTCGACCGATACTCATCCTCTTTACTTACGTCAACACACTCTCTTTAATAATAATGTTTTTTAAATTTTTTTATTCCTTAAAACTGGAAACCAAAATATCTTTTAAAAAAAAACCCTACATGATGAATAAGGCGGTAAAACTAAAACCAGAGAAGAAGACGACGTTACTGTATTTTTTGATCTGATCCTTAAAATAAATAAATAAAGACGACTTTGCACCCCGGAAAGACCCAATTGCTAAGCCTAGTCACCGGTTTTTATGTCCCAAACAAAACCACCGGTTATATGACATTTTAATATGACCTATATATCATAATTTATAAACCATTTATTCCAAAACTGCAAAAAAAGTATATGCAACTTCTCATGAACGACGTCGACGTACGTGTCAATAATACACGCTTTATATAACTTACATCCCACAATTTTGATCTGTCACACTTCATTTAATGTATCCCAAAGCTACAGGTTGTTTCCAAAACCGTAAGCGAACGAGAAGAGAAGAAGATTAAAAAACAAACAAATAAAAAGAAAATGTCGACTTGGATATTATAAACAAAAAATTATCTTCTAGAAGCATTTAAACCGTATACATTACATGTATAAATACATACATGTTGCATACTCTTATACTAGTAGCAGTCATAATAAAACGGAGCTGAGATTACCTAACCAAAAGAATCATTCTTAAAAAGCAACCACAAATGGAGGAAACAAAAAAGAGTTTGCTTGATGATTCTTTTACTAGTGCAATGACACTTACCAATTCAGGTGTTCCTCAAGTCCCTGATCGTTACGTTCTTCCCCCATCCCAAAGGCCAGCTCTTGGTTCAACAAGCTTAGGCACTACTACTACTGAGACGACAACACTCCCTGTCATTGATCTCTCTCTTTTACACCAACCTTCCCTTAGATCCCGAGTAATCCATGAGATCAACATGGCCTGCAAGGAGTTTGGTTTCTTTCAGGTAACACAACAAGTTTTAACGTTTCTGCATATGCTATATATTTCATCAAATTGTCAGTCTAAATATGTTCCCATGCTTCGTCACTAGCCCTAGAGTGAACTTTTCGCAGCTAACCAATCACACTTACGATATGACTTAGAAAGACGGCTATTGTCTTCTTGCATTTATGTCATGTGGAACAAACTCCTTGATCAGGGAAAAGGAGAATAGAAAAGACAAAATCCTCAATCTCAGACTTAAATGACAACACATATATAGTGCATGCATGCATGTTTTCTCTACTTAAAAGCCATCTTATTCTTTACAGAACTAAGAGATAAAGCCCTAGCTTTTACTTCCCTACAGGTTATAAACCATGGAATACCATCATCAGTGGTTAAAGATGCCCTAGACGCAGCAACATTGTTCTTTGACTTACCTGTTGAGGAGAAGATGCGTCTTGTGTCTGCAAATGTTCATGAGCCAGTAAGGTATGGCACAAGCCTTAACCATTCAACAGACAGAGTTCACTACTGGAGAGATTTCATCAAGCATTACTCTCATCCCCTCCCAAAGTGGATCGATATGTGGCCATCAAATCCTCCATGCTACAAGTAAGTTAAACATAATAAGCCTAGCTTCACTATCTCAATATATACGAAACCTAGCTCTCTCGCTCTCTCTCTCTCCAAAGACTTGTAAGAATCTTTGAGTTAAAAACTGATAATATATTTCAGGGAAAAAGTGGGCAAGTATGCAGAGGCAACACATGTACTACATAAGCAATTGATAGAAGCTATCGCAGAAAGCCTTGGACTGGAGAAAAATTACTTACAAGAAGAGATTGAAGAAGGGTCACAAGTCATGGCAGTGAACTGCTATCCAGCGTGTCCAGAACCTGCAATTGCCTTGGGAATGCCACCACACTCAGACTTCAGCTCACTGACCATCTTGCTCCAAAGTAGCCAGGGACTCCAGATAATGGATCACAACAAAAACTGGGTCAGGGTACCGTACATAGAAGGAGCTTTGATAGTTCAGCTGGGAGATCAGATGGAAGTGATGAGCAACGGGATATACAAGAGCGTGATACATCGTGTAACAGTGAACAAAGATGTCAGAAGGCTATCTTTTGCAAGTCTTCACAGTCTACCCCTGCACAAGAAGATAAGTCCAGCAGCTAAGCTCGTCAACGGAAACAATGACAATGCAGAACCTGCCTACGGAGAGTTCAGTTTCAACGATTTTCTTGAATATATCTCAAGCAACGATTTTATACAGCAAAGATTCATTGATACAATAAAGAAGAGCAGCCCCTGAAGAAGACCACCCAAACCACAGAATTCAACAAGGCAATTTTCATGGTTCGTCTTTTGGATAATTAAGGTTACGTTCCTGATGCATCATCATCTAGTATCTACATCTACTCTATGCAATCCAACATCACCAAATTATCACAAAGCAGCAACCAAGTAAAATTATCCTGCATGTAAACAGATATAACCCACTGTTTATATCACATAAAAAGCTTAATGAAATGTTGTTTTTTTTTATCCCTATAATGCCTTAATATCTGTAATTTTCTCATGCGGTGATTGTAAAAACATCTTATATGTAGTAGTATCTCTGTTTCTTGCATATTGTAAATCAATCAATCAATTTTTGTTGAATCAGTTAAAAAAGGTGAGATTTTTCGATTCATATAAGATCAGAAGCACTACAGTTCATAATTTGAGACAACTAGTTCATAACTTGAGACATAACTCTGTGTTCTGGTTCATGTAAGCGAAGTGCATATAAAAAAACTCATTTATATATAAAAAAATTAAGACAAAAAATCACTAGAGTTGTATCCGTACAACGCATACGAGTGCTAGAGGAGTCCATTACAAACAGTGATTTTGTCGATCAAACCGTGATCCAAAGACGATATCGAATTGAATCAGAGCATGAGATCGATTACTTACAAGAATCTTAAAAAAGGATCACATAAGTACCCTCCGGACAGTAATCCGTAATTTTCCGTTTTAAAGCTCTCCCTAACGGCGGTCTTAGCCTCTCCCTTGCTTCCGGCGGCGACGAGGAAGTCGCAGACGAGTTTGTTTGTTTTTTTCATAGCCGTCTCTGTTATTATTTTTTTCTAGTTTACGGGATTTTCGAGTTTCCTTCTTTTTTTTTTTAACCCGTAGTTATTTTACCGTCGTTTTTTTCCATTTTTTGGTTTGTCGGTTCTCTCTTTTACTTTTTTTTTTAACCACAACTAGCCTTTTTATTTTATTTTTTCTCCTTTTGTAATTTCCCTTAATTTTATCATCACCTTTTCTTTTCTTTTCCATTTTTTTTTGTCAACACTTTACCACAACTACTAGTCGACTAGTTTTTGCTGATGGTTTAGCCAACGAACAAAATATATGTAAAATCCATACTAATTTACAATATTATTGTACACAACGTAAAACAAAGTTCTCTAAACCAAAAGGTCTTTAAACTGCTGTCAACAAATCAAAGGTAAAAAACATTATGAAAAAAATGAACGTTAAAACGGAGAATGTTTCAATTAATTTAATTTTACTTTACTTAGCATTCATGAAAATACAATACTCTTACGGATTTAAGGATTAAGAAAAAATCTATTACTCTTTTTGAAATTCATAAATACAGTACGTGCATGGATTATTATACAATAATTAATAATATTATTTCTTGAACTTTCTAGACAACTTATTACTACAAGTGCTATGGTAAAAATATGTTCCGACTGGATAAAATTATTTTCAGTAATTTAGTAACCCCAAATGCTAAGATATCAACGGCCTATTTGCGGTGAATAATGGCTTTAACATATACAACATGCATATGCATTCACTTTTTATTTAAAAACAAAAAACTAACATGCTTGCATTCATCAATAAAGGTCAATTACATTCTTTATGATAATTAACCAGTGTTAATACCTCGACTATGAAAACAAAATACAGTGCATATAACTTATTAAGTATATAACCAGTATTATTAACTTTCCTTGAACTGCAAAATACAGAAACAAGACTTGGTAAAAAAAACTGCTAATGTCAAATATGTACCCCTTTTAATAGCAAAATCAAAGTCTATAAAATAAATGACTATCTAAGGGACAACAAAAACGAAATTCATGTAAATAGCATTGAAAATCATACGTTGGTTAATTTCAGACCCTCCATCTTTTAAACCCAGCTTGATACAATGTGATAAACCAAGCATGTTTCTAAATTTGGCTTACCTTATATAAAAAATAGCTCTGATCATCACTTGGTCTTGCAAATGTGTAACTACGTGAGAATCTATTAATTCACACAAAATAGAAACAAACATACAAAGGAAATTAACCATAATTGGCTATTAAATTTCCTTCTCAAAATCAGCGTTGCCGCAATGACTAAAAAATAAAATCGCAAGAGGATTCATAAACTAAAAATCTACAATGAGGGGAAAAATTAAAAGAATAAGAAAATCATAAGATGTATTTTCAAGAAACGGAAAACAAACTATGAAAAAACCCTTAATTAACCTCCTTGCATTTCACGTTCACACACTCAGTCTAAAACAAAACCTTTGATGAGTTTTTCACTTTGCAAAACATAAAGATCACGTATAGAACATAAAATCACTTTCTGCGAATTAAAAAAAAATGATCATAGAGAAAATTAAAATGAAAACCAAAAAAAAATTAGAAGAATGAAGTTTGTTGAATGTAAGATGCATAATCTCCAGCTCGGACTTGAATGTATATATGCATTTGAGCAAGAGCAGTGTCTAAGTACGTACCTACATGCATCCATAGTATATAAATACATATAAGTGTGCAAGGAAATCAACAGGCATGCATGAACCTAACTCTGTTTCAACGGCGCAAAGTACACAAGTTGAACGAAATCAGCTTATGTTCAATTATATAATTAATATAAAATTATATCAATGCTTTTTGGCAACATTATGCGTCATTTAGAGTTTTTAGCATATAAGGTCAAACAAATTTTTTAAAAATTATTTATGTATTCGTATGGTTTTTATTATAATAGATAGCCCATTTGACCACGGGCATACTGGTTCCATACTTGCATATATATATATATATATATATATTTTATTGTTCAATGCACCCAAAACCGGATAAAGATTTCACAACTTGTTTCGCTTTTATTTTACTTATAAAATGCGAGAGATACAAAGAACCAACCAAACCATGACGGTTCGAGGGGAGACGTAAGAGACAGCACAAGTTTTGTCTATTTTTGGTAAGGAAAAATATATAAAACACACAGCTTCCGTCGTTTTGCAAAAGTGAGTGAGAGTATTTAATAATGGTTATAGATATTTAAGCACAGGCACCGTATATAGTAGATTCTCTATTTATTTATGCTTTTGTTGTTTTAGTATCTTTCCAAAACAAGAAACAATGTACGATATGATAGTTTTGCGAATACCGCCTATGACGCTGTCCAGTCAAGTTCAATGTGTCATAACTATTATTTAACTATTTTAACATAGTGTATATACAAAGTATCATTAATAAAAGTTAGCGCGACTTGGCAATTTCTTTATGTTTTGTCACAGAAACTCACAGTGCGATCAAATCCTTTGCACCCTTTTTGTGATTATTTCAGAGTTCGTAGAAGTCAATCCTTATCCAGTGTGTGTCTTTACGACGGAACAAGTTGGGTACTATACTATAAGTGGACTTTTTAATGCCTAATTTAAACACTAATCTTTGAACTGTGTACAAAAAAATCAAATTCTATATTTAAAACTTAATATAGAAATTCAAAGGATTAATCAAACTCTAATCTTAAACTCTTCAAATAAATTTTCAATGATTTTTTTAACAAAGCATAATCTCTTACTGAAGACTACTATGAAAAATTATCCATTGAAGCTTTTGCCATAACTAAGAGCATGTTTATTGTCAAGCTCTTAAAAATCTCTAGTGGTTCACCAGGATACATCGCTTTTTTTATATCTGGCCTTCGTAATCCACCGTTTGGTTGTAATAGTAATAAAATTGTTCTCTTTTCATACATGGATATCAAAGAGCCAGCTGTTACAACTTAACAACTTGAAAATATACGACTGATCGGGTTAGAAAATATATATACATACACTATTCTGTTGACTCAGTTGGGCTACACTCAAAAATAAGAAGAGTGAAATATTAATATCTGAAAACTAAATATTTAGTTGGGCTCTAAAAAACGATGGGGGCCCAAAAGCTTGTTCAAACTTTTGTCTCCGAAGGGGATCCAATTGATTTCTCGCTGGTACCAAATGTAAAATGTAAAACTATAAAAAAAATTGAATATCTACAATGATAGTTTGCATTTTAACTTATTGAAGATAAGGTTAAGGTGGTGCACTTAACATGAGATTAGTAGTTAACCTTAAATGTATATTGCGATACTTTCTAACTATTTTACCAAGTCATTTCTCTTTATAGGACTTAAGATAGACGTGTGTTAGTTATTTCAAACCTTTGGTCTAATAATCTCATTGTTGCTTGCTGGTTTTCCTAACTGGTCATTTTTGGCCGGCAACAAAAAGATCACTTAATCAAAAAACATTCAATATACGCGAAAGCCCAATACACTCAATCCTTTTTTTAATTTTGGTGATCAGTATCGAAGAATGAGTTATGAGATTGATTGTGGTGGACGGTGGCTATATTAATTATATAGAACAAAATTGAGTTCTAATGTAAATTTAAAGTACGATTTTGAATGATAACTCATGGACTTTGGTCAGATGCAAAAGACGGCTGGATTTGGACCAGCTCTGTAAACTGATGTGGTCATAATCATATAATATTATTGCAAAATTTTTGTTTATTTATTGATCAACTAATAATAAATACATAAAAATGTTCTCGTACGGATCATTGGAAAGTATTACTGTTATAATACCATTCTAATAATATTCTAGTGATATCTATTTGATAGCATAATGATGGTTTTGTATAATAATGCTCATACTAATACATTGTAAAACATTATATTTAACGGTACAATATATTTTATAATGATTAACTTATATATATAACAATGATGAAGTTATGTTTGTACGAAACTTTTGATTTTGATTCATAATCTTCTGTTCAACAGATTTAAGATTTTTATGTCCTTTCTAGTTCGCACTTTTCAAAAATAATAATTTTGCTTTTGTTCTTGCATTTAATCAGCGAGTGTGAATTGGTTTCAATCATCAATCAAGCAACATATCATCAGCATTTATTATTACTATATATATAAATACATATATCACAAATAACAAAAATTATTTGCATTTGGTTGGCCTTACCAAAAAAATAAAATAAAAAAAGGAATCAAGTAATCATTTGGGAGTAAAGGAAATAAAAAAATCAAAATCAAAATCAAAAAGCAATAATTTAAGTGGTTGGTGAAAGGATATAAAAAAAGAAAAATAGTCAACAATGAATTATAATGAGGAAAGTGGAAACTTTGTTTTTCAACAATTCATCTTTGTTGCTTATGTCTACTTTGG